CGCAAGAGGTGGGCGCGCAGGGCTGGGCGCGCTCCCGCCGCCCGCAGCACCTCTCCCCGCGCAGCCTATCGAAGGCGGTTGTCTATTTGTCCCTTCACGGCTCCTCGTCCTTAGATTAGATTTCTCCTTTCTCATTACCAACCTTAATAGACCTTTCAGACCTAATTCCAGCCCCAGATATTATCTGACCCGTATAATTAATTAATTATAGCCCAAATATTATAGATTATTAAAAATAGCATGACTAATAGTGTAATATCTCAAGCTGTCGACTTTAATAGTCAACATTGTCTTGGTCTCTCTTATCAGGCCGGGACACCCGGCGAGAATATTGATTCCCGGTAATTTCAACCGTCATCTGCCACCCTGACGGGTAATTGTCAGATTTTCGCCCGAGTCAGAGCTCATTTGAAATCGTTAAACCGTCGGCACAGCTCCGGGTTGATCTTAATGCTTCCTTTTGCTCTCCTCCAGAATGTTTCAGCCTCCGGGAGGAAAATAAATAGGAGGCGGCGAAGGGAGCGAGCGGCTCACGGCGGCCCCTCGCAGCGCCCCCGCGCGCCTCTCGGGGCGGACGGGCCCCCGCGCGGCGCTCTCGCCCCGCCGGGCTCCCGGTGCGCCAGAGCCGCGGCAGCCCCTCCCGCCCCGTGCCTGCCTCCCCCGTTCCCCGGGGCTCGGCTTGCGGCCTGCCTGCCTGCCGCCACGGAGCGACCCGCTCCGCCGGGGACCCCGCGCCGCGCGTGGGCACGGCCAGCCGCAGCCGCAACCGGCAGGAAACGAGCCGGCCCAGAGAGGCGTCTGGAGGCTGCTGCGGCGGGCGCGTCTCTCGCACACCCGCGGCGGCGTCGAAGCGTGCGAGGGGCGCCCAGCCCCGCTCCGGGCTCCCGGAGTCCTGGCCGCGGGGCAGGTGGCGGCCGGCCGGGGGTCGTGCCAGCGGCTCCCAGGAGCTGTCGAGGAACGCGGCCGCTCGGTCGCGGGCGCTCCGAGGTGCGCTGCGCGGGGAGCAGGAGGCGGGCGCGGCGCGACCGGGCGCGGGAGAGCGGCCGGGAGAGGGAGGGCTGGCGGCCGCCGCCTCCCCGGGTGCTCCAGCCGCGCGCCGGCGCGGCTCCCACGGCCGGTTCCCCGCGGGAGATCCGCGGGGAGGGACTAGAACGGCCCACTTAGGAGATCCTCCGAGGATTCCCCGGAGCGTTGTTTAAACTTCTAATTATGATTCATGTGTGTGATAATATTAATTTAATAATCAAGGAGCTGTGTAGGAAGCATTAACCCCAATTAAGCTCATTACTGGCCTAACCTGGCAATCCCTAGGGCTCCAGCCGCGAGGCGCTGCCACGGCGGCGGCGGAAGCGAGGCAGCCCGCCCCGGCCCCCGCCCGCGCCCCCCGCCCGGGCCCGCTTCCGGGGCAGCGGCGCCTTCCCTGGCTCGCCCGGGGAGGGCTTCGTGGACGCTCCTCACCGCCCGCACCCCTGCGGCGCACAGCCGCGGCCTCTCGACCTGCCTGGAGGAGGCCGGGGCCACCACGGGCGGCTCGCGCGGCCTGCGCCCACCTGCCCACCAGGGGCGAGCTCACGCGACACGTGGGAAGGGGAGGGGAGGGGAGGGGAGGGGAGAGTTGAGCTCTGCGGGGGCGGAGGGAGGGAAAATCCTGCCCTGCCTCGGCTTAGCACGGAGCGCCGGTGCCCAGGAAACCGGAGATGCCCTGGCAGTGGAGAGCGAGGCGCGCATCTGCAGCTGCTCCTGCGCCCGGGCCCGGGCCCGGGCCCCGTCTCAGTCCCCCGGGAAGGCTCGGGGGGCACGGGCGGCTTGGCGCTGCGTCTGCGCAGGACTGCTCCGCGCCCGGTTGGGGCCTGACCCGAGCCCAGCCCGGGCCGGCTGCAGAAGCGGGGTCTGCTCGAACGACGAGGACGCCAGCGCCTCCCGCCACGCGGCAACCGGCCGCCTTTCCTCCGACAGCCCGCCTCGGGGCGGGGGGAACGGATCGATACTGACCCCCCCCAGCGGGGGTCGCGAGCAGGGCCGGCCCGGCCCAGGCTCCTTTCCCCGCGCGGTGGAGCAGCGCCGCGCAGGGGACGCGCAGGGAAGGCGTCGCAGGGAGCCCCATACGCCTGCCCCCCGCTCAGCGCTCCCCAGCCCAGCCGCCTCCGGAGAGAGGCGTGCGCCCCATCGGGCAATCGCGAGGCGGCCTTCAGCGCGGGGCGAGCGGCCCCCAGCCAGAGGAGCCGCGAGCGAGCTGGGGCCCCGCTCCCGCCGCCCGCCTCCCCGCCCTGTCCTGCCCTGCCCTGCCCGGAGGCCACGGGACGCGAGCGCCGCGCGGGGGGGGGGCTGGACCTCCACCCGCCGAGGTGCCGCGGTGACCTTTCCGTGCTCTCGGCACCGCGTCCCTGATCAATGCGCGCGGCTCGGAGGCGCGGACGGGCCAGCAGCCCCTCCCCACTCCCCCACCCCATGTAAATCCATCAAAGTGACCTTCCCAATATAACAAGGGCTGCTAAACTGTTTTACCACCACGATAAATGTCCTTAATTACCCTGAGATCTGCCTGCGCCGCTGCAAGGCGATGATGAATGGGCAAACAGAAAAGGTTCATTTGTTGACTGGACTCGGGAAGATCTAATTAAAAATGAAGTTTGGAGCGAAGACGCGGGCCTGGCCGCCGCGGAGGCCGCGCTCGCTGGCCGGGGGCGGGGTGCCGGCGCGCGGGGCCCCCGGCCAGCCTGGCTGGACCTTCCAGGGCCTTCTACCCGCCCCCCCCCCCGGGCGGGAGTGGCGTCTGCCAGGCGTGGGCGAGGGAGCCGGGGAGCCGGCGGCCCTGGCGTCTCAGTCCTGCACGGGCGGCGCGGCCCTGCCACGGACCCGGGCGGGGAGCGAGGGGCTCTCTGCCTGCCTCCCGCGGGACTGCGGCAGCGACGTGGCCTGCTCGGCGCCCCCCAACCGGGACGGCCGGGACCGCGGTGCCCGAGGAGCCGGCGGTCGGCGAACTGCTGGGCCCGCAGAGGGGCCGACACGCCCTCCCCCACCCCGCCTGCGGGCCGCTTCCCCAGTTCGCGAGCTAAGCCGGCCCAGGTTCGGGGCGGCGGCGGGGCGTCCGGAGGCTTCCGGGGTGGCGGGGGCCACGCGACGGCGCCCCCCTCGCGCCCCGTCGGGCCAGGCCGGGTGGGCGCAGAGTCACGGCCTGCCAGGCCAGCGAGACCTCCCCGCAGCCTGCAGCTCCCCGGCGAGCCGCTAACTGGAGGTGGCAGGTGGAGGGAACGCGCGCAAATGAGCCTCTAATTGACAATCAATTGTGATTAGGCGCGGCGGAGGCCTTCCCGGGCCGGCTCTCTCCGCCGGCTGGGGGTGGGCAAGCGGCCCCGCGGCAGGGGGCGCCCCGGAGCCGCGGATGCGCCCGGCCGGCCTCTCCCTCGGCGCTGCTGCCCGGACGGAGCCGAGCGCTGGGCCTCTGGCGGGGTGGCCCGGTGCGCAGCGCGAGGGCCCGCCTGGGGAGGCACTGGCGAGCCGAGGGGACGCGGCGCGGCGCTGCGGAGCTCCCGGAGAGCCGCTCGGGGGCGCAGGAGGGCGCGGGGCGAGACCGAAGCGCCCCCTGAGGTCGGCCCGCGCCCGGAGGGGCCTGCTCCAAGCCCCTGGCGCCGCGCTCCGGCCCCGCGCCTGCGGGCACTCCCCTGGGCCCGCCCGCTCATGGGCTAATCATGTCCAAGCGCTACCAAAATTACAGCTGATTGCTTTCCCCATTATTGCGTCCAAGTTTTAATTTCTCCTTTCCAAAGGATCATTGCTTGCGGTAATTGCAAAGGACCTGCCCTTGTATGTGTCACTAGCCTTAAAGACATTTTTTACAGCGAAAATAAAAATTTCGTTTATTCCCGGCCCTTCTTTTGGCAGGCAATTCAAAGTAGGCAGTGAGCGAGACGTCCAAAGCAAGAACGGAATTAATGCGATCAAGCAGCGGATTGGAGAGAAGTCTAAGTAGCAAAGGACTCTCGCTCCGCTCCCCAATTTCAACGTCCCGCGCTTTTCGTCTTGCATTTGGGGCAGCTTAGATGGGGAGCGCTCTGCCGGCTGCCTGCCCGCGGGGACTCTTTGCAGGGTGCTTCTCTCTCGAAATCCCGAGCAGGGTCGTGGGGAGCGCAATTCTGCCCGGTGCCCTGGCGGAGGGCCACTCCGAGCGGGCTCCTCTACGGGGCCCGTGCACCTGGCGGGCCTGCGGTCTCCGCGGGAGTCGCTCCAGCGCGGCGTCTGCGCGCGCTGAGGGTTTCCCTGCCGCCCCTGCACTTGCTCGCGAGTAAGGCCCACTGATTTATTTCGCGGGCCGCCCGCTGGGCGGGGGCAGCGGGGAGCCCCGTCACGCCGCGCGCGGATGTCCCCCCCCCCCGGCGCCGGAGCGGGGCGTTAGTCAGTCCCGCGCTGCGCAGAAGCCGTGAGCCCCGGCAGGCGCGGCGCCTAATTGCGGCGCTCCTGCGGACCCCGCAGGTCTTGCCACGGGAGCGCCGCCCTCCCCCGCCTCTCCAAATAAGGCTATTTAGATGCTTTCCAGATGAGCGGAGGGCGCCTCGCAGCGCTGCCAGCCGGGTCGATCCCCGGCAGCCCCCCGCCCCCCCGCGCGCCCCCGCCTGCCTTGCCCGGCGCGCACACGCGCTCCTGGGGTCTCCTCCGGGACGCAGGGAGCGGGCCACGATGGGCGAGCGGTCCGGCTGCTGCCATTTCCCGCCGAGCGCCGGGCATGCGTGCGCCAAGGAGCCGCGTTCCGGCGCGGAGGGGGGCGGCATGACCGGCTAGGCCGCGCCAGAAGCGGGAGGCGGCCGCGCAGGGGCGACAGGGCGCGGAGGGGGCCGGCGCGGGCAGCCGAGCCGGGGAGCCTTCCCGCCCGGTCCCTCCGCTTTCTCCCCAGCGGGGCTCGCAGGAGAAGTTTGCTGGAGGGAGGAAGCGGGCGAGGAAGGGAGGAAGGAAGGGGGAAGTAGTCCGGAGGGGGAGGGGCGGGGGCTGCGGGGGCTGCGCGGGGGATGAGCGCGAGCCGAGACAAGGCTCAGGTGGGTGACGTCTCTATTCCGGCAGCGGCCGCGGCGGCAGCGGGGAGCCCTCCGGAGCGCCTCCTGGGGGACCCCGCGCCCGGCTGGCAAGCGGACGGCGGCATGGAGAGCCGCGCCGAGCCGCGCCTGGCGCCCGGCGCCGAGCCGCTGCCGCCCGCCTACTCCTGCCCGGTGGTGGGCAGGGAGCGGGCCGGCAGCGAGCTCTCCGGCGGCGGCGGCGGCGGCACGGGCGGGCCCGAGGGGGCGGGCGCTGCCCTGCCCGCCGCGCTGCACAGGACCACGTCCTTCTCGGTGCTGGACATCCTGGACCCCAACAAGTTCAACAGCCGGAGCCGCCGGCAGTGCGCTCTCCTCTACAAGGCTGCGGCCGGCGCCGCGGATTACGCGCTGGCCACGGACGCCCAGAAGCCCGACGGCGACGCGGGCGCCGAGGCCAGGACGCCCACCGAGGACGGCCAGGCGGGCCGGCGGACCAAGGCCTCGCCCGAGGCGCGCAGTAAGTGGCGCGGGGGCGGCGCTGGGCGGGCGGCTCGGGAAGAGCGCGGGAGCCCGTCGCGCAGGCAGGCGCCGCTCGGGCCCGTCCGAGTCTCCCGCGGCCCGGCCAGGCGCCCAGGCGCGTCCGCGTCTCCGGGCAGCCGGGCCGCGGGAACCGGCGCAAGGGCTCCGCGCGGCGGGCCGGGGAGGAGGCGCCCCCAGCTCCGTGGCCGCGCTCCTGGGTGGCCGCCTCAAGGGCGTGCGGCGGTCCGGTCGCCGCCGCACTCTCGCCCTGCAGGCGGCCCTCGCCAGCGGGGAGGCGCGCCGCAAACGCGCTGCTCCAGCCGGGCCCCCATGCGTCGGAAGGTCTCCTCGCCGCGCCGGAGGCCAGGCCGCGCCCGCAGTTCGTGGGGGCTCATGTCCCGCCTCCCCCCCAGAACAGCGCCGAGTTGCAGAGCGAGCGCCGGACAGTCGCGCAACCGCCCTGCTCTGCGGAGGGCGGCCGGGGGGTGGGCCAGGGCCCCTCCAGCTGGGCTCAAGGAAGGGTGCACAGAAGCCCTCCCGGACCGCTCCCCTCGCTGAGCAGGATCAGCCTGGAGGCTTAATTCCCCCCTCCCCGCGCGCGCTGCTGCCGCTGCTCCCGGCGACAGATTCAATTTTCGCTTCCCCTGTAGCTTTTTTTTAGGACAAATCAGACTAATTGTGACAAAACGCTGGTTATCTCTGGAAAAACAATTAAATTCCTTCGATTACATTTAAAGCAGCGTGTGCTTGGCCGCGTAAGGAGGCTGCATAATGGGGGAAACCGCCCCGGAGTGGCCGCGTTGCACCGAGCCGGTCGATATCCTATTATCGAATGGTGCGTATCTCTTTCAAGCACCTTGCAAACTCTCGCCTAACATCTAAATTATAGGGTCAAAATTCGGATAATTACTCGATTAAAACCTATTACACTTATTAGGGTCGCCCATCGACCGGGAAGGGCGTTCGACCGGGCGCCAGATTGCTTTTGCTTCCCGGCCGGCGCGGGGCTTCGCTGCCCGCCGCTGCGGGAGGCCGGCCCGGCCTGGCCCGCTCGCCCGCCGCCTCGGCGGGTTGCGGAGGGCCGGCTGGGAGCGGGCCCGGCCTTGGCGCGCAGAGGCAGCCCCGTGTTCGGGCCGCAGGAGCTGGCCCGAGGGCACCTTCGCTCTCGGCCTGTTCGCCTGTCCCGCGAGCGCGCCGCGGGAGAGCTCCTTTGCGGGCCTGGCGGGCTGAGCTCAGCCCAGACCACTGTCAGCCACCCGCGCACCTGGCCGGACGCCCGCCTTCCCTGCCATCCTCTCCGGAGCGCTGCCCCGTGCCCTCCCGGCCTGCCCCACCCCTCGCTGGGGGCTCCCGCGCCGGGGTTTGGGATATCGGCCAACGATTCCCCCTTCGAGCGGAGATTTTGGTCCAGCAAAGCCACGGGAAATGCTAAAATAATTCAAGATCCGTGCCTTTCCAAGAAATGCGCCGTGCAAACCCTTCTGAGCAGGACTGGGAATGGGGTGCGGCGGGGTTCCTTCGCGCGCGGCTCATTTCACGCCCAGCAGCTCCCCCCTGGACTGCTGCCTTCCTCCCCAACGGAGGAGCAAGACCCCTCGCGCGCTCGAAGCGCACGGATTGCGAGGTGCTCCTCGGAGGCCGCCGCAGGTGCCTCGCCCCAGCCCCATCGCGTTTGCTCCCGGTCCGACGACCCAGAGCAGCCCACGCGCACCGGGGCAAACGAGCCGCAGGCCCCCCTCCGACTCGCCCGGTACCTTCCAGCCTTCCCGAGCGGGCTTCCGTGCCCCGAAGGAGCGGCTTCAGCGGGAGCCTAGCGCGGGAGAGCCGAGCGGGGCCTGCTGCGCCCGAGTTCCTGGGACGGGCGATTCATACAGAAACCCAGACAAATTAAGCGATCGCTAAGGGGTTTGTGCATCGCACGGAAGCGCTTTGGTTTAATTCAATCCGCGCTGGGAATCGAGGCATGGCTTTGGGTAGCCTTATTCCACCCCATCCCCGGATAACGACAAAGAGCCCAGGCAGGGGGCAGAGAACGTTCATGAAGGAAATTTGGGGCGCCTCGGTCGCCGGCTGTATTTCTCCCGCAAGAAGTCCCCGAGCCGGGGCGGCTGCAGAGGAACGCTGGCCGCGGGCGGGAAGCGGCTGGCTCGCCTCTGCCTTTCCGGAGCGAGGCCCGGGGAAGACCGGCCGCGTCGCCGCGGCCCTTCTCCTCCTCCTGGCTTTCCGTGAGGGCAGTCGCTGGTTCTGCGAACGGTGCGGGGCTTCGTGCCCCGAAATCGGCCGGCCAGCGGGCCTGCTGGTGCAAGGGCTGCGCGGCAGGCCCACCGGGGAGAGGCCCGTTCTTGGGGAAGGCTCGGGGCGCGAGAACTTGTTCGGGCGCCGCGGGAGGCCACGCCAGCGCACCGAAACTCCTGCACGTGCCCTGGAGGCCCAGCCAGAGGGAGGAGACGTGTGGCAATTCCGACGTGCTGAGTTTAAAAGGAGGAGGGCACGCCTGGGTTCGGGAAGCCTCGGGAAGGCAGTCCCGGGGGCGCCTTCTTCGGGCCGGGGCGGGTCGCGGGTCTCGTTCCGCGCCTGGGAGCCATAAACGGAGGACGCGCGCCGCCCAAGCCATCTCCAGCCCCCGGCAGCCCCTGCCCGGTGCCTGCGGACGGACAGGCCAGAGGCCGGGCCGCGGGGAGTCTCCCGACCCGCCGGGACTGCAGGGCTGCCGCGGCCCCTCGCGCCTCGCGCAGGGAAAAGAGCCCGGCCCTCCGCCGCGCTCCGAAGCGGCCCGGGGACGTCGGGAGATCAGGCCCGCGGCCACGCGCCCCGCTCGTCCCGGGGCCGTGCGGGGGGCGGTGGGGGCCGCAGGCGCGCCGCCTAACCGGGTTGCTTGTCGCGCAGAGGCTGAGGCGGAGGCGGGCGCCGGCAGGAGCCCGTGCGCGGAGAGCGAGGCGCCGGACGACGACGACGAGGACGAGGCCGAGGACGAGGACGAGGACGGGGAGCTGTGCAGCGAGGGCAGCAGCGCCAGCGAGTCGGGAGGCCCCGGCGCAGGCGGCGGCCTCGCGGGCCCCGTCGAGGCGGGCGGCGGCCTCCGCCCGGACGACAGCGAGGCGCCGCCGCCCCTCGCACCGCCGCCGCCGGGAGGGGCCCAGGGGATCGGGCCGCCGCCTCCGCCGCCGCCGCCGCAGCAGGCCCCGGCGGGGCCCCCGGCGGGAAAGGCCAAGCGGAAGCGGCCCGGCTCGGACTCCAAGTCGGGCAAGCCCCGGCGGGCGCGGACGGCCTTCACGTACGAGCAGCTGGTGGCGCTGGAGAACAAGTTCAAGGCGACGCGCTACCTGTCGGTGTGCGAGCGCCTCAACCTGGCGCTGTCGCTCAGCCTGACCGAGACGCAGGTCAAGATCTGGTTCCAGAACCGGCGCACCAAGTGGAAGAAGCAGAACCCGGGCGCCGACACCAGCGCGCCCACGGGCGGCGGCGGCGGCGGCGGCCCGGGCGGCGGCCCGGGCGGCCTATCGGGCGCGCTCAGCCCTCTCAGCCCCTCGCCCCCCATGGCCGGCCACGGGCTGGCCATGCACGGCCCGCCAGGCGCCTACGCCGGCCACCCCCCCGGCGGGCTGGTGTGCGCCGCGCAGCTGCCCTTCCTGCCCAGCCCCGCCGCCGTCCTCTCGCCCTTCGTGCTGGGCTCGCAGACCT